TTCAAAGGGAAGTTCCAAGAGATAATGTATAAATGGCTAAATGGACACGACCTCAACTCCGTAGAGATCACTACATTATGACAATAAAAATAATGGCAATTTGGCAGCGGCGCACAATTTGCGTCAAAAGAGCACTTGCCCATTTTGGCATCTAGTACACAGAATATATAGAAAATACGATGGATCCAAAATGCTCAGCAAGAATATATATAATATTTACGTACTCTTGAAATACCAAAGAGTATTAGCACATATTCCGCAGTTATGTCAATCGGGCTTTGGACAGTAGTAATTCAAGTCAATTTAGAAAGTATTTGCTGCAATATTTCCTTATTTTTCAACAATTAATTTAGTGCTCTTGACGCTCTTTCTCATTAGCTGATATTTCAACGCCACGATCCTTATTTGCTTTCGAAATTAAAGAGTTCTTTTGCAATAAATTGCTACTATTTTCACCGCCATTGTATGGTGGCTATATATAGACCTAAGGATGAGCCATCGTTGGCGCTCGTCTTTTTGCGCCACAATGCATGCCCGGACTAATAATAATACAGCATAATAACAATAATAAAAACATATGATTAAGCAGATGCTGCGTATGCGCAATATTTTCCTTCTCTCTCTGTGGGCATTACGTATACGCCGCGTTGCCAAAAGTAAATAACTTAATAAATAAAGGAGAAACAGGCAGTCGATGACCAAGTAAGGCAATATCCCATTAACTTGGTAAACAGCACAAAAATATATAAAATTTAAAATAAATATTAATAAATTGTGACATCCCCCAAATGATTAATCTGGGAAACGGATGAATCATCGAGGAGGAGGGCTCGTTTCCTCTTGCCCGGCTGCTGCCCCGCAGCGAATTTTGATAGTTTCCTCTTATTTTTGGGCTATTTTCACAAATGAATAAAACTAATTGTTTGAATTACATATTATTATTTCGTTTCGTTTTGTCTGAGACATTCCCCTGCTGCAGCTGCAGCGGAAAGTGATCTAAAGTGTCGCACTTTCGACTTGGTAACTGGGCTTAAAGGGTAATTTTGGTTATATTGAATGGCGTGTTACGGTTGTCATATTTAAAGAATAATTCATATATTTAATATTATTTAATATTATATTTTGATATAAATTAAGATAGAGTCATTTTGTATTATTTTATAATTTCGGCTTTAATTTTATTAAAATCGGCCGATTATATAGCTGCAATAAATACAATCATTAAATGTGGAAATAAATCCAAAACTGTGAGTGCGAAACTCTAAAAGTTTATATTTCCCTCTATTTCTCTAATTCTCTGCCGCTCACTCCCACTCCCACTCCCACTCCTACTCTCTCTCCCTCTCTTGATTTTTGGTATGAACATCCCTCTCTGTGCCTCTCTAGAGCCACCCCTACTCCTCTGTTGGGCAGAGCCTAGCTCTAGCGGCAGCTCACTCTCTCTCGCTCTCAGTTTCTCTGTTCTCTTGCTCGGGAAGTATAAATAGAGGTTCTGGAGTCGCGCGCGATTCAGTCTGTCCTAGGGATACCTAGCGTCAACATCTATGGTGAAAGTGATAGTGATGGTGCAATTCGACTCCAAGAGGATGACGTGGCCCATGGATATGGATTACCAGGAGGAGACCCACTTGTTTACATCTCTGGTGACAATGATGGTGCACTTTGACTCCAAGAGGATGACGTGGCCCATGGAATGGATAACCAGGAGGAGGCCCACTTGTTTACATCTCTGGTGACAATGATGGTGCACTTTGACTCCAAGAGGATGACGTGGCCTGTGGAATGGATATGGATTACCAGGAGGAGGCCCACTTGTTTACATCTATGATGATAGTGATAGTGATAGTGCACTTCGACTCCAAGAGGATGACGTGGCCTATGCAATGGATTTGGATACCGAGGAAGATGCTCACTTGGATGTTGCTATGAACACAACTCTGGACTGGAAGGAATGAGCCAATGACGAAACCGGATAACCATGTGTCCTCCACTGGGGTAAGTCCAAACCATGATTATATAGAATGTAGAATTTCCTTATTCCCTTATTATTTATTCCCAAGAGTTAATTATAATACAAAGTGACACAGCAATTTTTACTAAATGATATATATAAACGCATACTCAACCCAACAGCCTAACTTAATTATAAATTCATCACAAATATTGATTGATTCTTACTATAATTTCTAAACCAACCCCTGCAACTTTTATAATTTTAATCAGAAGTATGTTTTAACTAATTATGCATTCTGAAATCTATTCTCAAAATTCGAAACTTATTCCGATGGACAAATACCTAAACTGCTAGAATATATATATCTTAGCAGGAGCTATAACAAAACCTGATTGACTTTTTATTACTGACACCCTTCAGACCTTTCAGCGCCTTCGGCCATATCTATTTGATAATTTATGCTAAGCATTTTGCGATTATTTAGTTAGACTCTTCCCTCGCATTCGGATGCAACAGGAAATTGCTCAGGCGAACGCATTTTCATTCATGAGTTGATCTTATTTATGTGCTGTGGTGCCGGTGCCAAACCCAAAGAACCCCCAGAGGCATAGCCCAGTATATATGGTGGCACCCACAGCACACACACGTGCAGTCGATCGGTTGGCATGCCATATAATTGCCACCGCCATCGCGTCGCATTGCACCGCCGCCATGCACTTGTGGCTGTCAGCCAAACATGCAACAATAACAAGCGAGTGGCAAGAATGATAAGCTGATGGTGTCACAGAATATCCTTTAAGGTTTCTTTTAGATCCTTTCCTGGCCAGGCTTTCGAAAGGTTCGGTTAATAGTTATGGGAGGCTGGGAAGAGTTAAGCTTTGGGAGGTACAAGTATCGAAGGGAGAGATATGTATTTGATATAAAAAATAGCTCAATCTTTAATACATCGAATTATTCAATATCTACAAATAATTTTAGATAACGCTGCAGTATCGAAAACTATATAGTATATATGTAGTTTCTTTGCCTGATTATATTTGCTCAATATATTAAAGTTATAAAGACTTTCAGTTAAATATTAATGCATATATATTATATGATTATTATCATATTTTCTGTGGTTTTCTCAATTAACCCCAAGTTACCCAGTTAACCCTTTACTTAACTTAATACCTCTTTCTTACATACCTCTTTAGGAGCTCTTTTTAACCAATATACCCGACACATTGATGAAAACCCAGGGCAGAGCCCACCGAACCCTCTCGTATGCAAACAATGCAGTCGAATTTGTTTAATTAGCGAAATAAACTCGTATATTAAAGATTAGCAGGACGGGTGGACCCCAGTCCTCCGACTGACAAGCCAAGGCAGCTGGGCACGCGCATTTCGATGGCATTAACCAACTGGGATTTGTGGGATTCTCAGATTCTTATTTGGGGGATAAGCGAAGTATTACATTATATTCCAGAAAATACTGTTTTGATATTAATCTTTATTTTATTTATTAAACCCTTTGCTTGTCATTTGCTTATCTAAAAAAGATATGTACTGTAGATACTCCCAAGAAAGTTCTAAAAGTATCTCTGGTTTTTGGTACCCTCAATTCTCGCTTAACAAATACTATTTAAATAATATATAAATTACAAAAAAATTGTTAAGATTTATCCTTTATGAACCTGTCCTTTGAATGCTGCGTTTCCTTTGCCTGTTGCTGTGCACAATTTTTGAATGGCATCCAAGAGTCGAGATTCCTTTCGATGATCAGCGCGTTACATGAACCGGCGGTCGAAATGAGACCCAACCATCAGCATGCCGTTAGATGGTCGGTCTATTTCGGGTCCCCTCCCAGTCCGATGCCAAGGAGCGGGGGCTCGGTTCGGACCGCTTCCGGTTTTTCCCCAATAAGCGAAAAAAAAATAAAATAAAAAAGAAAATCCCAAGAGCAATGCCACGGCCGAGCAGAGCGGGCACGAGCGGTGACCAATTCTCACACCTCTTGGCGTCACACACTGTGAGAAAAGAGTTAGATATATTATTTATATAGATTTGATTTTGAAATGCCTTTTTAGTAGATGTTTTTAGAGGGAAAATAAGCTTTGCAGGGTATTTCAATGTTGGTTAGAAGTTCGAAAACGCAAGGAAGCAGTCATTTCCGACCTTATAAAGTATATATATTCTTGATCAGCATGAAGAGACGAATCGATCTAGCTATGTTTGGCACAAATTAAATTTTTTTAAATTTTTGACAATTTTACAAGGGGTTAAAATTGTCAAAAATTGGCTAAATTTTTAATTATTGAAAATTGTAAAATTAGGTATGCAGATTTCTTAATCTAACAATAACTAGCATTGCAAAACTTTCCGAATTAAAATTAATGTATTTTTGACATAGTTATGATGATTTGAATGATCAAATTGCAAGGGTATAAAAAGCATAATTAATTTATGAAATATCTTTATTTTTCCTTCTTGTTTTATTTATTTTGATTTATTTATCAATATAATATTTGAGCTTGTCGACCTATTCCTCTCGAAATACTTCCCTCTTACTCTTAAAATATTAAAGTATTTATTATTGAGTTTTTTTTTGCTAGGTGTAGCCATCTCTCTATCCCTCTTCATCTGTCTATTTCTCTCACTCCCTCTTCTCTGTTGCTCCCTTCCTTGTGGCTTCTTGACCATTCTGTTCTGCGGTCAGAGCCGGATCAGCCAAGCGCGTAAGCTGGTGTTGATTGAAGAGTGACCCCCGACTCCGTGTCGGAATCCCATCTGGGGATGTGGAGCAGGTGTGCTCCCTTGAACTTGCCACAAATCCGCGATCCATACGGTTGCATCTCCAACTTCTGGAAGTTGCTAGTGGGGAAAAACGTTGGGAAAAGCGGTCTAAAATTAAAAGAAAATGCAGAGAGCACTGAGAGAGAGAGAGAGAGAGAGAGAGAGACAGAAAAATCAGAAAATAAGAAAAGCTGTAAGACAGCTGCCTCTGCGATCGCTGGGCTATAAAAAGAAAGAGTGCTCGCTTTCGGCGCTCACTTTTGGTCCCAGCAACCAAACGGCGTGCATCTCTAAGATATAACATATAGTACCCCCAAATATACCACAAGCTATATATACAGCTCGATTCAGATTCAAATCAAACCCGGAACGCAAAATAACGCAAATTGCAAAACCAAACATTTTAAAGACATTTTTCTTCTAGTTGTTGGCTTTTTTTTTCGTGAAAAATAATACAAATAAAAACTAAATAAGAAATAAATAACAAAAAACTGAAGAAAAGAATCGTGTGCATTTTGTGAGTGGATCGAATTGAAACCGAACGGGTAAAGGAAACGGAAACGTTAAAGTAAACGGAAACGTTAAAGTAAACGGAAACGGAAGCCAAAGTATTGTCAAGGAATTCCAGTCAGTTCCAGAAGACAAGCATCCACAGAGAGGAGCTACTTCCAGTGTAAAAACACACCACAAAAATAACTAAAGGTAAATGGAAGAAAGTTGAAATTCCAGGGGATTAAGGATCCTAATAAATCAAAGTATCCCAATTATCCAAGTCTTGTTGTGCCAAAATAAATCGAAGCTTTATTCAGCTGTAATTAAGATGTTTTTTCGAAATCAATAATCAGTTTAGGGATCAAAACAAAGCTTAAATTCAGATACTTTAACATTTACCGATTAGGGAAAACATATTTAAAACAACAGATAATATGTTGAAACAATCTGTACTTTAAAAAAGTAATAATAATATCTTTGGGGAATTACCTTAAGAATTTCAACCATTTTTCGTTACCTTTTTGATTAACAATTTACTTTCTGAACTAAACACTTCCAACTATATACTATCTATATACTGTATCTGATAGATAATACTATATCTGATAGATACTATTAGGATTTTCTTAATATATTTCTTTATTAGAGCTCTTTCTTCACTTAAAACTCTTCAGTTTGATGTTTGGTAGCAGGTCTGATGTATCGGGTTAATGGAAACTTAAGCTTTACTTAAGGAAATCAAAGAGAGGCTTCAAATACACACACACACACACATATAGACATGTAATGTGTCGGTCAATTTCCAGTTAATTTCCAAATGGGTAAGAAAAAAAACGGAAAAATGGGGAAAAATGAAAAACGGCAAATGGGCACGAGATGTACCGAATTCCGGTTCGTCTTTCGTCTTTCGGGGTCGCATTTGTATATGGCCATAACTGGCGAGGGGCGATCAAGAGTTCAAGCCTAACGGTCTGTGTTTTTTGCGCTTTGTTTTGCTTTTTTTTCTCTCCTCTCTCCTCCTTCCCCTCTCTCTAACTCTCTATCTCTCCATCCGTTTTCCACTTTTGTTTATTTTTGTTCACAACATTTTCTTTGCTTCGCTCATTTTTGCTGTAATTTTGTTTTGGCCTTGTTTTGCTTTGGCCTTTGGGCCGGGTCTGGAAATCCGGGGTCTGGTGGGTCTGGGTCACAAAAGAAATGCTAAAATGGTAAAAAAAGAAGTAAATAAACGCTGTTTGGCAACACACAATGGGCACACACACACACACACACACACAACACACACATTTTTCCATTGTTACGATTGTTGTTTGTTGCTAAATTTAATTGGTTTTCTTTCCCATCACCCGGGCCTTTTGTCTCGAACTCTCTTCTCTTTTCTTATGCTTTCAGGCAAAAGTGTTGCGAATTCGCGGTGACAACAGTCCAAAGCCCAAGACCAAGACCAAGACCAGAGGCGCCAGAGGCACCAGAAGCACCGCTCCACGGACCAGTTTGCTTTGCCATTGCAAACGCCGCACTCCCAGGCCATTCTGCAAAATCCCAGCCACATTATGACGGATGTATCGCACGAATTGGGCGCCCTGCGCTTCGTGGTGGTGAGTTTAGTTCAACTAACTAACTAAGTAACTACAATTTGTAGCTAGTCAAGTTAAGGCATGGGGTCAGGGCTGCCCAAGGAGGGCACCCGAGAGCCGCGAGCTGGAATCGTGTGCCCAAAAACGACTCTAATGTTGCAATTTGTGATAGCTTTCCAAAAATATGAGTCTAATCTTACGAAATCTAAGCTTAGTCAGGGTTTTAGCTAATAATAGCTCTTCTGATTCATAAATTAGCTAAAAGGTACGCCAGTTTGACAGCTTTTATACCTCATATGGGATTAAGTAGGCATATCCGGCTTTACATTTATAGATATCGAATGATGAACAAGGGATTTATTGGTCAAATAACCACAGTTTTAAACTGCTGCAATTGAAAAACTAACTTCTTTTATGTTTCAGTTCAAATTCCAATACCAATTTTAGTCTAATTTTCAAAACTTACATTTTTAAATTTAAATTTAAACTAATTACGAAATGAAAATATATGGATATGGATAATCTTAGCCAAAATGTGGAAATGGGATTTGAATCAAGTTTTTGCTTTTGGCATCTTTGGAATGTTGCTATCCCCAAAAACTATAAAAAGAATTCGAAATTGTATTGTTTTTTTCCGTTTCACAGTCACATCTCGTGCGACAAATGCCCGAAAATTATTTATGCGCAGCGCAAAAACCACAGAAATGCGTAAGGAGAATGAGGAAAATTCAAATAAAAAGAAAGAAAATTAAATAATAGAAAATAAATACTCGTAATAATGCAAATGGCCAGAATAAATGTCAAGCGGATTTCGCCTGGCCAAGAAAAATGTTTGCCTTCGGTTGTCCGTCGCTGGATCGCTTCCAAACGAGAGCACGATTAAAAATCATTAGGATCGAAATGATATAAAAGAATGCCCGTTGTCCGTTGTCCCAAACAAAACAATCGTCCAAGTGTTGTATTTGTTTTAATTTGTCGCCACATGAGTTGCCAAAACATACACCCATTTAGCATACGAACAAATTTTCGCACAGCAAAATACAAACCCAACAACAGAAACGAAAGATCAAAACACGGAAAAATTCTTGGCAATGACCATCGTTCGGTTCGAGTTGAAATAGCAATGGTGAATATGCACATATATACTATATATAATACATATATTAGTATGGATGTATATAGTCCCCCGTCTGGGGGTATATATCGCAGACTTCTCAAGACTGACAACGGCGCCGACAAATAGATCCCGAATAGATCTAGCCGCCGTTCGGACCACGTAACCAATTCGCCCCGGACTCGGATTCGGATTTGGATTCGGATTCGGATCCGGACCAGCTGCAGCTGACAAATGTGGCCCAGGAACTGCCCCTCTTTCCCTCCACATATATAGTATATATATATCTTGAATAGTATCCAAAGAATAATAGTATTCACAGGTTTTCTGGGGGAAAAATATTGAGGTAGAAAATTGGGAATATATTCCTAACTAGCTTTTCAAGTTAATTTATACAAAAGCTTAGTTTTCATAGCATAATAATAGGAAAACAAATAGCTTTATTTCTACTTCATAAATACCAGTTTAAAGTTATTTTAAATACCTTTTTTTATAGGTATATTTACATTAATTATTCAGCTGAAAAACTCCTTCAACTCTCGATCTCTCTAAGGTCGTTGCCTCTTGCATTTCCATTTCCATTGCGTTGAGTGATTTTGCAGTCCCTTGTTTACAATATAAATCTCATTTTTATTGCCAACTCAGCTGGAGACCTGGGGTCTTCCCAACACTTGAAGGCGATGCGAAAATCGAAATGATGAAAAAATTTCGAAATTGAAACTAATTTCCATGGACGAATTTATGCATTTGTTTTTCCCAGACTTTCACCTGCTCACTTGTTTTGCTTTATTTTGAAAACTCTCTCACACCGCTGCGAATTCTGGTCGCATTTCATTCATCGTTGGATTTATTTATAAGCGAAACGCTCTTCATATATGAATGAAAATCGTCGCAACTTGATTGACGAAATCATTTTCTTGGATACGAACCGAGTATTGATCAAAGAGACAAATATTCAGAACGTCATTGCTGCGGCTGCCAAATAAATTGGTTGAATTATATAAACATTGCTTTTGGGATTCATTCATGGGCAACTCGATCAGGGACTCCGTCTCCGTCTGGGGATATAGCCACATATATCACTCTTTTGGATCGTAAATAATAATCAAATGAGATAAACAGCGGCGAGCGACGAGTGGCGAGAGGCAAGTGACGAGTGAGTGGTCAACGGAATGGCTCTTGTGCCGAAAATTGGCAGTGAAGGTCATTCCTGTTCTTCGTTTTTATATTCTTCTCTTTTATTTTTTTTTTTTTTGCTATACGATAGGAAGTGTATATAATGTATGTTATTTTCCTTTTCTTTTTGTTCGTCAAAAGAAGAAGCCCCGCTGCCTCCCCTCGTTGTTTTCTTTTTGTTTTTTTTTATTTATTGCCACGACATTTGTACATTCCTTTTGTACTTGCTCACGGCTCTGGCATCTTGCACTTATTAGATGAGAAATTACACAAAATGTAAGACTGCTGTTATTTAATTGCGACCAATTAATTTTCTTTGTCGACTGTAGAATGCGAAAATCATTAATTGCGCAAAAAACAGGAATTTTTGAATTGTCTACGAACTTTTGAAACTCAAAATCGACTTAGTTTGTTCAAATTAGTTGACCATTTTTACACTTTTGGAAGTTCAAAATTATTAGTTTATTTAATAATCTGATAAACATTTGTGTTTGAGTTTGTTGTCATTAATTGCGCAAAGAACATGCATTTTGGAATTGTCTACGAACTTTTGAAACTCAAAATCGACTTAGTTTGCTCAAATCAGTTGACCATTTTACACTTTTGGAAGTTCAAAATTATGAATAAGGTATAATTCAAGTTTATTTAATAATCTGATAAACATTTGTGTTTGAGTTTGTTGTCATTAATTGCGCAAAAAACAGGAACTTTTGAATTGTCTACGAACTTTTGAAACTCAAAATCGACTTAGTTTGTTCACATCAGTTGACAATTGTTACACTTTTGGAAGTTCAAAATTATTAGTTTATTTAATAATCTGATAAACATTTGTGTTTGAGTTTGTTGTCATTAATTGCGCAAAAAACAGGAATTTTTGAATTGTCTACGAACTTTTGAAACTCAAAATCGACTTAGTTTGTTCAAATCAGTTGACCATTTTTACACTTTTGGAAGTTCAAAATTATGAATAAGGTATGATTCAAGTTTATTTAATAATCTGATTAAAATTTGTGTTAAACTGAATTCTCTTGGGAATATTAAATTCAATTTAAATGAACCGCCATCGAGGCAACGCGAGAAACCCGCTAACTTGCAGATGACACACCTGCTGAGGGTCTGGCAACGCCGCGTCAAGCTTAAAAAATATTTCAATTTCTTTGTCACTTGACCTCTTGCCTCGCTCCCGTTGCAGGACTCACCGCTCTCCTCCAAGGTAGCCATGTTCAATAACCAGGCGACGCAGCACAAGCAGTCCCAGCTGCTCAATCCCTTCTCGGGCGACGGGCGCGCCTCCTCGCCGAAGCCGACATTCTCCAAGGATCAGTACGGCAAGCCGCTGGCCGGCAGCCTCACGGAGGCCCGCGGCCAGAAGGCCAACATCCATGTGATGAAGGAGATGCTCGAGCTGTGCCAGATCATCAACTCGGAGGGCTACGATGTCAAGGATGAGCCTCAGATGCGTGTGATTCCCTTTGGCGAGCTGTTTAATGTGAGTTTTCCCCCGGTTGTGACTCCTCCTCCCTCCCCGGCTGACTCCGGATTTCACTTTCTCTTGCAGATCTACAACTACATCTCCGATAAGGTGGTGGGTATCCTCTTGCGCGCCCGCAAACACAAGCTGGTGGACTTCGAGGGCGAGATGTTGTATCAGCGACGCGATGACGACGTGCCCGTTTTCCTGCTGAAGCCTATCAAGGAAATCCGTGCCGAAATGGATGCCAAGATTGAGGATATCAAGCGGGCGGCCAGCCCGGCACCGCCGCAGTCCACATCGGTGCTGATGGATCGCAGTGCTCACGAGCAGAACCTCAAGTCGCGCACTCCCTCGCCGGCGGTGGGCAAGTCCAAGCCGAAGTCCAAGTCTCAGTCGCCAGCGGCGCCCAAAACGAAGGAGGAGGCAGCGCCAGTGGAAGTTCCTGCACCAGCAGAGCCTGCTCCTGCCGCAGCTCCTGTGGCAGCTCCTGTAGCGGCTCCTGTGGCTGCTCCTATTGCAGCTCCTGTTGCAGCTCCTATTGCAGCTCCTGTTGCAGCTCCTGCTGCAGATCCTGTGGCAGCTCCTGTGGCTGCTCCTGTGACTGCTCCTGTTGCAGCTCCCGTGGAGACCAAGCCTGTTGCTGAGCAGGCAGCTCCTGTTGAGACCAAACCAGTTGCGGAGGCAGCTCCCCTTTCAGAGCCAGCGCCCACTGTGGTAGTCACAGAAGCCCCGCCAAGCGCCGAGGCACCGCTGTCCCAGGAGAGTACAGAGCAAGTACAAGTGGCCCCTGCCATCAGTCCCGCTGAAGCCGCGCCTGCCGAGGAGTTGCCCACGATTGTGATCGAAGCCTCTGCCGTGTTTGTGCGCACAGTCAGCGTGGATCAGCAGGCGGAGCAGCCGGCACCCAGTCCGGAATCGGCGCCTGCGCAGCCGGAACAGGCCTAAATATGAAACCCTGGCCACGCCGCGCTGTGGCACGGCATTGTTTAAAGGAACTCTCGCAACTACTAAAGCGGCAGCTTTAAATTGCAGTAGTTTAGTGAACTTAGTTTAATTTATTATTAATAATTAGAGAAAAAAACAAAACACTGAAGACAATCGAGAATCGAGAGCGACAACTTATTTATTATACGTGTATCGTTAGCGGTCGACCAAAGGAACCATTTCCTCAATTTTTTAAATATTAACTTATTAAAATTAATCAAGCGATATGATAAAATATAAAATAAAATACAAATAGACACCGTACGGTTGTCGTGTTCCTTTCGCTTTTTCGAATTCAAATCAAATCCCTATTTATATATATATTTATATATCACATAGTAAGCGTTAACTTAACAATCAAGCTTTGATTCTAGTTATCCAAGCTCAGCAAAGCTGAACTCCCACAATCATTCGAGAGGTCGTACAGTAAAGACTAATTTTCATTGGGATTGAGAAAACCTAGTACAAAATTTTTCTTTTTCCTGGAGTAAATAAATTTATTAAACTCTTGCAACCATTCGAAATTTCGCATAGTAAAGATTAACTTTTGTTGAATCTGGAAAAAAAGTACAAAATTGTCTAGTGTGTAGTTTTAGCTAAAGTTGTATTCAAAGTTTAACAATGCCGAAGAAGAAGCCTTACTTGTTTATTCCAGCGCAAAATAGACACCCATACCGCAGTGTCTTTGCCAAATCGAATGCATCAAAAAAAAATCTTAAGCCTAAAGCTAAGTGTGTAAAATTTGGTGACAATGCTGTACCTCCTCAGTCAAAGAAGAGGTTGAGTAGGAAGCCCACGCCGTATCCGGTCCAGTGCAGTCGGGCTCCCAAACTAAGGCCAAGGAACCCAACGCCAATGATAGAAAAAAGCTACCACGATAATCTCATGGGCAAGACGGAGGAACCCCCCTCAAAGATGCCCTCGACCCTGCGACTGGAGAGCAAGTATAATTCCCTAATCCAGGGAATTGTTGTTGGGATCGGAATTAATAATAATCCTGCGGATGGATTGCAACCAAATTCTGAAGATCAAGGTGACACAACGACCCCTGAAACCACATCTTTAATTGATATCATACCACCATACTCTGGAGCTCATACTGATGACGAGACGGAGACGGAGGCGGAGACGGAGACGGAAACAGAGACTTCGGAAACGGATCTGGATTCGGAATCCCGAGCTATTATATCAAGTTAGAATTCGTGCAGTAGAAACGAGAGCTCGAATCAAGACAATTTCAGTTCACGAGGATAATCCAGTGCAAGAACACCGTGCACCTGCTGTATGCGTTGGAATAATGTCTAATTTCAAGCACGACGACGCTTTTCGCTGAAATGCGATGAATTTACCTTTTAGTTTTAATTACATGTTACAAAAATCATAAGTTGTGTGGGGTTTTTCATCATTTCATTTAAAATTTTCACGATTTCTGATTAGCGGATTGATAAAACCAATTTTAAATTTTAATCGGCTTGCATGAGTCAAGAAGTTTGAAAATAACCGCCATTGTTTTAGTATTCGGCTTCTTGGTACTTAGTGGTGGCAACGATATATCGATACTCAAAGTATTAATTCAACATCGATACTAGTATCGACGTTTTTCCAGCTCTATTCACCAGCTGCGATCCAAAACAAAAATATTTGGCGTTGAATTAACTATTTGGCAAATTTCGCACGGAACATCTGACGATTAACCGGCTTCGAAATGTCTGCCCTGCGACGCGATGTGTCGCCTTTGCTCCAGCGCCTGCGGGCATTCCTCTTGGGCGTAAGTACCCCTTGTATGAGGCGCAATAGCCGCTGCGGCCAATTCTTCGTTATGTAAGATGGTAACGGAAAATGCGGGAATAATCTTGGGATTTGCTTGCAGCGTGAGCACAATCTGGCCCTGCGCTTCGAGGACGGTCTGGCCGATCGCACCCAGCCACAGCCGGAGCTTCCGGATGGACCCTCGCACCTGCTATCGGCCAACTACTACTGCCAGCGCGATGGCCGTCGCGAGGTGAATCCACCCATTGACCTGGTGGCGCAGCTGAAGCAGCTGGAGGCAGAGTCCGGCGGAGCGGCGAAGGCGGCACCCACCGCCCAGCTGCCCACTCCGGGCAAGGTCTACGCCTGGGATTGATTCGCCTTTTGGGCGTGAGTCCCCTTGTATCTTTTTTTTTTTGTGTTGACTTGTAAGCTGAGCGAGTTAAAGCTAATATAGAACCCATTCAAAACGAAATCGGAGGTGGAGAGTGTGCTTATGATCTCTAGGCAGCGATGGAAAGGCAAGAAATGGATCTGCTGAGTCTACAAAAGGTTTTAAAATTACTATTATGTATACCCTTCTTCGATCTTCCAATCTGTCCCCTAAATCCCACCTGCTCTTAGCCGCAGAAATCATAATCACTGGATATTGACTACGAACATACATTTGTACGAACATTTAATTGTAATATTTACAGAGGACTCCGCCTAACACTAAACAACCAGAGGAAAAATAAGACAATAGCCGAGAAGCCGGATCAGTAGACGCGCGGCTTGATTCCAACATTAATACCCGTGGTGGAGCGCAGAATAATGTTCAGCACAGGCTTGACTTCGGGGCCCAGGGGCAGCAGCTCGAAGTGGCGCACCAACTTGCTGACCGTGCTCTTCATCTCCAGCATGGCAAACTTCTGGCCAATGCAGTTCCTCGGACCCGCTGAGAACGGTGTGTAGGCAAAGGGATTTATCTCCCCCTTGCGCTCCAGGCTAAACCGTTCTGGGATGAACTTCTCTGGCTCAGGGAAGAAGTCCGGATCGCGGTGGGCATGATAAATGAGGATAACGATGTCGGAGTTAGCAGGTATGAGTTTGCCATCTATCAAGGAATAAGGTTACATAGGTTAGTCAAGGAGCTAAGTAAGAGCTACACTTTAGCCTACCTAGAACGAGGTCCTCGGTGATGTGGCGTCCAATCATTGGCACCGAGGGAAACAGGCGCAGTGACTCCTTGATCACACACTCCAGGTACTTCAGCTCGCCCAGGATCTTCATATCGATGGGCGCCGACTTGTCATCACCAATGACATCCCGTATTTCCTGAAAGACGCGCGCCTGCACTTCCGGATGCCGGGACAGCAGATAGCAGGTGAAGGCAATGCTGCTTGTGGTGGTGTCGTGACCTTCGAACATGAACGTATCCACCTCCTCGCGGATGTCCTCGTTGGTTAGCGGCGCTCCATCAATAGTTGACTGTAGCAGGACGTCCAGCAGGGCCATGCGACGCTTTTGACCCACATCGTCCATCAGGGAGGCGGCCGTGGCATCGTAGTTGCCATCGGCCAGGGCCTTCTGGAGAAGGTCTCGCCGCTCTGTGATTACAGAGTTGGTAAAGTCGTGCATGGCCTTCACATTCCTGGACAATTCGGCAAAAACCTTTGGATAGAATAGCTTCATCGTGGGATCTACACGCTGAAGTGGATTCATCAGCCGATCGGCAACCATTTCAGAGGCCCTAAAACACACGAGCACATACATATTATATGGAGGAAACAGGAAGGAGGAGAAGGAACTCACGTCTTGACCGACTTAACGTAGGGAAAGTCCGGCTGCAGTTGGGCATTGATCTTCACTCCCATGGCCGTTTCGGCAATGATATCCATGGCACACAGACAGGCCACCGGAAACATGTTGATCACAGTCTTGCCATCCGCCCGATCGTACAGTTTCTCTGCCATTATAGCGCTCTGCTGATCGAAGACCTCCACGAAATCCTCCAGAATCTTAAAGTGGAAGGCCGGCGTGATCACCCTACGACGGCGGAACCATTTCTTGCCTGTGCTAAGCAGCAAACCATCGCCCAGCCAATTGACTAGCAGGCTGTATAAATTGTTCTTCTGAATGGTCTGCTGGCTGCTCATGATGGCCTCGATCATTTTGGGATCGGCGGTCAGGAAGCCACGCTCACCCAGTACCTGGATATGGATGTTCTTGCCAAACTCCTTGATCAGACGCCATTGCAGATCGAAGACAGCTGTAGGCGAAAGTTTAAGTAATGATAAGGCAATGGAACCTTCTTTAAACGAAAAATGCCAATCTAATCTCTGCTGGGAACAAGAAGCACTAACTCGCTTTACAACCTTGTTGTAATCTCCTGACCCAGTGGCCATGACCCACTTACTCTTTGGCGACTCCTTGATCAGCATGGGCGCATTGCCCACCAGGGGATAGCGCCTGGGCCCTTTTATACCCGCCTCGGCATACATCCTATTGTGGCGCCTATTCCTCAGGTAGTCATACACATAGAGGACCGTGAAGAGCAGGGCAAGCAGCTCCAGATACATGGTTTAGTTTTCTTTTTTTTTTTCAATCGATGTAGAAGGATCAAAAACCGAAAATCGATTCGAACTTTGCTGGCACGGTTTACCACCGACGACTGGCTGGTTCTGCTCGCCGGCGGGGCTGTTTTGTAGGCGGCGTAGACTGCGATAACGGCGGCCACAATCACAATCATTGGACTGAAGCGGGGGCCAACCCCAACGGAGGGGGTCAAAGACAGCCAAAATTTGGTTCAGGCTTCAATTTTGGTTGCTTTTCCCCTACAGATGCTGAGATACAGAAATGAGCGGAGGCTCCCCCTTCCAGAGATATATTTTTGAACTCAGTGAAAGAGTGCCCCCAGGAGCATGTTGGATCTGCGGCTTCATCATGATTTAAGGCTTCGTCTTTATCAAAAGACTGAGAGTTCAGATTCCACCCTGTGCCTTGGATAACGTCAGAGAAGTAGCAGGCAGTATTGATTTGAATTTAGTCTTATCTAAAACTGGACGTATTACGCTAGAGTTCTGATAAGATCACGTGTAAGCGAGACTAAAGCAAAGCAGGTCAGATGGCATCGCTAGGGATGCTGTGGATTCCATCCTCAAGAGTAATAACTACTCTATTCTATTAGATCTATGGCATGGTTTAGATCTTAAGCTTTTTCCGCAGCTGAGAAGTATGCTAGGACTGTCCAGAGCATTGAGTCAAGCTTGACTTTAGATTCATCCCCAAGAATGGATCTTTGGGCGGCACTAAGAGCACATAGCTGTGCCTCCAAAAGCTCTCTTTAGAACCAAATCTAAGATCTGTGAGATGCTGCTCTCTCGCTTTCTATAAACGGGTCAAACTGGTATCGGATTCATTGCGATTTCATTACGCATTAGGAGCTTAACCCTCTATTGCCCGACTGGGTAGTTATCAGTGGGGAACCAGATCAGATAAATAACTCAATTTGATTGTGTTTTAATTACTTCTGTTTGCTCATCCGAACATAGTGGCAGTTGGAGTTAGCTTTGAGGGCTACGTTGATGTAGAAACGTACCCAAAATAGCCTCTTGCCACTCGACTTTTGTTTACGGCCAGGGAAAGCTATGGAGATAACTTAATCTGAGTAAATAGAATACAAATATATGAACTACAAGCTATATGTATTTAAGCAGAGGAATTCAAGAATCTTAAGAGTTATCCTAAGAGTTTATCAGTATCAGTATTAGATCATACTCACTCCCAATTTTTGTCCGCTAAGCATGACTGGAAATGGTGATAAGAGGCATTCCTCCACAGCTGCCAGGTAATTTGGCAAAGTACTCGACATTAGTGCATTCTGCAGATTAAGATAAGGGTCATCGAGGCAAACTACAAGTGTACATATTATCGTAAATCTCAAATTATCAATTACATTGTCAGACTAAGATAAGCCAGCAGCTCAGGTCAGGCATCAGGTCGGGCTACCCCAGTAACTGATAAAGAAACCGCTTTCATGGTGACTGGAATCAGCAAGCTAACCATGACTGTCATGGAACTTTCGCAGAAACTCATCGTGACTCTTTGAAAAGAATGGGTTCAATTGAATATATTCTTGGTGCTTGCCTATTGGCATCTTCAGTTTTCAGAGTTCTCTTGGTTGGATCTTACATCTTCCTCAAATGTCTTCTGAAGTGATAAGTTCCTGATTCCTGATCCAATTTACAGGACATTCTCTGAACAACTTTTGAAGATTTTGTAACTCGGAACTCGGTTGTTTTTTGTTTTTCCGGGCGAAAGCGTATTAAAAGTCAAGTGTATAATCGTTCTCTCTTAAGAAGATCACCGCTGGGGGTGAGTGTGGGAATTAAGAGCGGCGAGCACCAACTGTGAGATAAGAAATCGGAGCAGCTGCGGCTTCTAGTCCAATCAGTTGTGAATCGCTCGCCGTCGACTGCACAATGCTGGGCGTGGGCATTCTTCTGTTCCTCACGGCTTTCGCCACCCTGCTGGTATGGGATTACTTTTGGCGTAAGCGACGCAATGATATGCTTAACTATATGCCGGGTCCGCCGCCACTGCCACTCCTGGGCAATGTCCTCATGTACCGTGGTCTGGATGCCGAGCGTGAGTTCCAATTCCAGCCTGTGAGAGAGGTTGCTTTGCCTCACTAACATAAATTAATCCACCACCTGGTTATTATCTGTAGAAATTATGGACTTTGTGATCAAGAATCAGCGCAAATACGGACGGATTTACAAAGTGTGGGTGATCCACCAGCTGGCCGTGTTCTCCACCGATCCGCGGGACATCGAGGTAGTGCTAAGCAGCCAGCAGCACATCACCAAGAACAATCTGTATAAGCTGCTTCACGAGTGGCTGGGCGAGGGCCTCCTGATGAGCACGGGCAGGAAGTGGCATGGCCGCAGGAAGATTATCACGCCCACGTTCCACTTCAAGATCCTGGAGCAGTTTGTTGAGATCTTTGACCAGCAGAGCGCCGTGATGGTAAAGCAACTGCAGTCGCGGGCTGATGGCAAGACCGCCATTAACATCTTTCCGGTGGTGTGTCTCACGGCTCTGGACATCATTGCAGGTAAGCTCTATAGTTCCCACCTAATGATACTCTCTCCATAAGAGCTCTTTTTCGGTTTTCTTCACCTAGAGACTGCCATGGGAACGAAGATCAATGCCCAGATGGATCCCAATCTGCCCTATGTCAAGGCTGTCAATGAGTGAGTGGCTGCTGGTTTCTGCTCCTTCATAGCTTCATGGGTTCTTTGATATTATGACAGAGTCACCAACATAATGATCACTCGGTTCATACACGCCTGGCAGCGAGTCAATTGGATATTCCGGCTTACCAAGCCATCGGAGGCGAAGCGCCAGGATGCGGCCATCAAGGTGATGCACGACTTCACCGAGAACATCATCCGCCAAAGGCGTCAGGCTTTGGTTGATTCGCCGGAGCAGGGATTGACGGAGGGTCAGGCTCACGATCAAGTAGACGATTTGGGCCAGAAGCGTCGCATGGCCCTTCTAGATGTCCTGCTCCAGTCCACCATAGACGGGGCCCCCCTGAGCGATGAGGATATCCGCGAGGAAGTGGACACTTTCATGTTCGAGGGTCACGACACTACCACATCGGCCATCTCCTTCTGCCTGTACGAGATCTCGAGGCATCCGGAGGTGCAACAGCGCCTGCATCAGGAAATCCGCGAGGTACTGGGCGAGGACCGAGAACGTCCGGTCACGCTGCGTGATCTCGGCGAGCTGAAGTATATGGAGAATGTGATCAAGGAGTCACTGCGGCTACATCCACCAGTGCCCATGATCGGTCGCTGGTTCGCCGAGGATGTGGAAATACGTGAGTGCTTCAGTCTCTTCTAGTCCAATATCCCTCTTTGACTTTGTGTCCTTTGCCTTTAGGTGGCAAGCGGATTCCGGCTGGCACCAACTTCACCTTGGGCCTCTTTGTCCTCCTGCGTGATCCCGAGTATTTCGAATCACCGGATGAGTTTCGGCCTGAAAGATTCGAGGGTGATGTGCCGCAGTCCCATCCGTATGCCTACATACCCTTCTCCGCCGGTCCCAGGAACTGCATTGGCCAGAAGTTTGCCCTGCTGGAGATGAAGAGCACCATTAGCAAGCTGCTTCGTTATTATGAGCTGTTACCCTTGGGCCCAGAGCCCAGGCACTCGATGAACATTGTCCTGCGCTCGGCCAATGGCGTCCATTTGGGCCTGAAGCCACGCTCAGCCTAAGTCGCATAATGTGCATTACCTGTATATATTTTAGAATATAAATTTATATTTTGTTTCTTTAGATTTAAGACTGTGCTTTACTTACAGCAATGGCTGAGGATAGTATCTTCTTTTCGGAACTCCAAGAGGGCTTTCGGCCTGAACAAATCATAGTTATTTTGTTTCTCCCTCCAGTGTTTCCAGTTAGATGATTCTTGTTACGTTCTTGAGCACTCGTACCTTAAAATTCAGCAGAGCAAAGTGCTTTCTAGGTACAAAGCTCACTTTATCTACATAGGTACAACGCCAAGAACCCAGCACTGACTACGATTGTGCTTTGTTTTTGCATAGAGAACAGCTGGTCCGAGCAGCTGTTCCGCTTGCCACCTCCCGCTCTGCTTGGTGAGCTCCATCCGCTGCATCTCGCTCTGGCCAAAGGCGCCCCATTCGAATCGCTTATATAAAAGCGAAGTCTATAAATAGGAGGATTATCGCTGACATTAGTGGTGGTGGTAGAGGAGCTCCAGATAAAGAATCTTGCCTCCAAGTGGGTGCCTCGGCAGGGCATTCTGGGCACACCCGGTGACAGTGTCAGCTTAACATGTTGGTGGCTCTGTTGGCAACGCTCCTAGTGGCTCGCATCGTGGTCTGGCTGCTCCGACTGACGCTATGGGAGCTGCGCCATCCTCTGCGCGGCTTGGTGCCCAGTGTTTCCAGCGTGCCTCTGGTGGGATCGGCTTGGCAGATGCGCAGTTTCCAGCCCGATAGTGAGTACTACCCATATAGCACATGTAGATAATTACACCTCAATGTGTCGTTGTAGATCTTCACGAGAAGTTCGCCGAGTATGTGCAGCGCTTTGGCCGCAGCTTCATGGGCTGTGTCCTGGGCCATGTAGTTGTAATCACTGCAGAGCCACGGCATGTGGACGCCCTGCTTCACAGCCCACAGCAGCTGCGGAAGGCTACGTTGTACTATGCCCTTCGGGGTTGGCTGGGCAATGGTCTTCTCCTGAGCCATGGCGACCAGTGGCGGGCCATGCGAAAGATCATCACACCCACGTTTCACTTCAGCATCCTGGAGCAGTTCGTCGAGGTCTTTGACAAGCAGAGCAGCCGGCTGGTGGAGCGTCTGCAGCCCCTGACCCTGGCTTCGAAGGGGTGTGTCATCAACATTTATCCCTATGTGGGTTTGGCGGCTCTGGACATCATCACCGAGACAGCCATGGGAGTCAGTGTGGACGCCCAAAGAGATGAGGACTCCGAAGTGGTTCAAGCTATCAAAGAGTGGGTTGTGTAGTCTATTGTACTTCCCTCTGCACACTTATCTCCTCTTTTTACCCTATCCCCAGACTCACCAATATCGTGGCCACCAGATTCGTGAGGCCGCACCTCCTCTTTCCCAAGATCTTCCGCTTATGCTGGCCTGCCGGCTTGCGAAAGCAAGAGGAAGGTGTCCGCAGTCTGCATATGTTCACCAACGAAATCATAGAGCAGCGCCGCCAGCAGCTGGACAGGGAGGACCACCAGCAGCAGAATGTTCCCCAGAAGCGCCATGCTCTGCTTGACACCCTGTTGCGTGCCACCTTGGACGGACAGCCGCTGACGGACAAGCAGATACGTGACGAAGTGAACACATTCATCTTCGAAGGCCACGATACCAGCAGCTCGGCGGTGTCCTTCTGCTTGTACCTTCTCTCTCGACATGAGGAAGTCCAGCAAAAACTGTTCGACGAGCTGCGCGAGCACTACGGCCCTAATTTGGGCAGGGGTGTGGAGTATGCGGATTTCGCAGCTCTGCCCTATCTAAACTGTGTGGTCAAGGAATCACTCCGTCTCTATCCTCCGATTCCCGCGGTGGCACGCTGTCTAGAAACGGACTTGGAAATTGGTAAATGGGATTCTGGGAACATCTGCAGTACTCACTCATCTCCTTTTTCCCCAATTTCAATACAGAGGGCGGCCACATCCCGGCAGGCACCAATGTGGTGGTGCTTCTCTGGCAGCTCCTGCGCGACGAGTCCATATTCGCTGATCCCCTGCTCTTTCTGCCTGAGCGGCATCTGGACGAAACGGTGGCTAGGCAGGGAGCCTATAGCTTTATACCCTTCTCCGCGGGCCCCAGGAACTGCATCGGCCAGAAGTTCGCTCTGCTGGAGATGAAGACCATGGTAATCAAGATGGTGCGGCATTTCCAGCTCCTCCCCTTGGGTGCCCCGGTGGAGCCGTCTATCAAGATTGTGCTGCGATCGGGGAACGGGGTTAACTTGGGCCTACGACGACGGCCATATTGACATATTGTGATTTTATGATTTTAAGTTTGGCTTCGACTAGTGCACTTATTTGAAATCGATAAGCCATGTATCGATAGCTGTAAACAGCTAGTGATGAGTAGCGTTGGCTTCTTTTCCGCGAAGTTGGGCTTTTATATAATTACCAAAGAATTGATTGTATTCAAATTGATAATAATAGACTGTGTTAATAACTAATTAAGATGTACAAAGATCTTGACATGATTTCCTTTTCGAGATAAATTTTTTGCTAATCCAGAAGCAGCGCTATATGCCACATATACATATATACAAATCCTACTGATAGCTATTTATAAAGCTTGGCAAATTCTAATCTATGAACCCATCGAATCGATTCACTAAACAACCAGATGGAATTCCATTCAGATTAAATTCGTGCGTCACTTCCCAATCAGAATCAAGAATCTATATACGCTTTATAACGACCATATAGGTAAAGCTCTAGCTATTCTTAGTTGTTTATAGCTACAGTTTCCCCTTTCATTGGCGCTATCGAAAAGAGCCGTCTATCGATAACTGTCATCGATGGGACTGTTGTGTGTAGCTTTTCTTCGTTTTCTTTAAGATCAGGAAACGAGCGTTTCCCCCTTGGAAAATGTGTTTTTTGCGTTTTCTAGCCCAAGCCCGTGGCACGCTGGCCAGAGTAAGTATCTCCCGTGACACTGGCCTCGGAGCAGGAGGGACGCCGAGCCCAGCAGCACTAATACGGTTTCTCATCCTCTGCAGCACCTGGCGGAGGCGTTTCCCATTGCTTGGGCCGCTGCTCCTCCAGATTCCGGCCGGACCCTGCACTTGGTGATGGGCAATGAGTCCTGCGACCTGGACTCGGCCGTATCAGCTGTCACTTTGGCCTTTGTCTACGCTCAAAGGCACTTGGAACACGACTATGTGCCCATCCTGAACATTCCACGACGGGATTACCCCCTAAAGACAGAGGTTGGCCATATGTTCGGCCAGTGCGGAATTCTCGAGTCCGTGCTGCTTTTTCGCGATGACTTGCCCGGCGAAATGGCCCCGGATGTAAGTGTAATCCTTGTGGATCACCATGTCAGCCCGCTGGCACGGAATGTGACGGAGATTCTAGATCACAGACCGCTGGATGAGAGCAGTCCGTCCCTCCAGTTGCTGCCCTCCAGCTGTGAGCGGAGAATTGATGCGTCCGTTGGTTCCTGTGCCACCTTGGTGGCCGAGCGTTATCTAGCCGAGGAGCAGCCTCGCTCCTTGGGCGTAGCTCGGCTGTTGCACGCCACCATCGTTCTGGACACTATCAACTTTTCATCGGCGGCTAAGCGTTTCGGGCCAAAGGATCAGGCCATGGTGGAGCAGCTGGAGAAGGAGTTGAATTGCCAGACGGCCCAAAGAACAGTCCTCTTCGATGAGCTGGTGGCCGCTAGGGCGGATATTAGCACCCTTACCCTTACCGAGGTGTTGCGCAAGGATATGAAGACCCTGCACACAGATCGACAGGTGGTTCCCATGGCCGGCATGCCCATTCTTGTCCGGGACTTTGTGGCAAAGAGCGGTGCCGAGAAGGCAGTGCGGGAGTTTGCCGCAGGAAGTAATCTCCTAGTAATTCTGGGCATGTGGGTAGCACCCGCCGATGGCCAAGTGCAGCGTGACGTAGCCCTGATCTCTCTCAACGGACAGACTCAGCTGGTGGAGCGGGTCCGACTGGCCTTGGTCGAATCCAGCGATCCCAAGTTGGAGCTGCAGCCCCATGAGCCGGACCCGCCTTGCTTTATGGGTGGTTGTTTCCTACGCCAGCACAATGTCCAGGCCACCAGGAAGCACATCCTGCCCATCGTGAAGAGAGCGCTGCAGGAATGGGAGGCGGAGCATAGCTGTGACTGCGATGATGTTTACTTTTTCAAGGAGAAGCCGCAGCTGGGACTTTCCTAAACCGAAGACAAGACTTAGCTAGAATTGTAGTCAAAATCTTTAATGTTATTTACGTAGTTCACTTAAGTTTACGCCAGGAATGAGTGGAAACCTAGCATTTAAGTTGTTCGAATTGGAACAGGCAACCGATATACAGGAAATAAGAGTCTAGACCAGTGGTCGCAACGTTTTCATACCGCTTTCTGCTATTAAGCTCTCGACTAGAAGGCGGAGGGAGGCATGGATATCAGTATTGAACAATGGGAACTACATTGACATTGACATTTGGCAGCAGAAGGGTAAAATTTGGGTTGGAAATACATCCTTGGAAAACCCCCCAGGATAAATGTCGATACTCGTTTAGTTTCCTAGCTCTTTATGTGGATTAAGTGAATATGTACAGGGCATACCACGGAGGGGTAAAAAAAAAGCAAAGAGAAGTGTTGTATAAATAAACAAATTATAACTGAGGCTCGGCTTCTCCATCGTCATCCTCGCCCATTCCGTCGTCGGCGCACTCCAGCGTCAAGTCCTCCAGCATCTCCTCCAACGTGATCTGGGGCACATCACCGCCGGCAGCCTGGCCGTCGATGGGTATCGTCTTGTTGCTGTCCCGGTAGATATTGACCTGGCCGCGGATATCCTCGTTCTCCTCCAGATCGTCAAGGAACTCGTGGTAATCGTACTTGCTGCGCTCGTCGGTTGCCTCTGCAGCCAAGTGCTTAATCTTCCACACGCGCTGGCTGAGGCGGGCCTGACGGTCGTAGTGCTTGCGCACCAGGATCACGTCGGGTATTAGCTCGGGCGACAGCTTGTCGAACTCTGGGTCGTTGATATTGGCCTCGCCGGTGTTGTAACCCATCACGGAGTCGCCCACCTTGAGCAAGTGGCCCAGGTGGGAACGCGTGTGAATGGGGTTATCGTTAATGCCCAGCTCAGAGGCTCGCACTACCCAAATATCGCATAGGGCATGCTTAAAGGATACCTGTCCCTGGCCGGGATACGACTTGCGATCCTTCTCCATGATCACATCAATGTCCATGACCACGTACTCCACCAGTTGCTTGGGGTTGCAGATGGCCTCGAAGGGAGCTCTGCGTAAGCAACATAGAAAATTTAGTAAAGGGATTAAGGCAAAAATAAGCGAATTCTTACCTGAAGTACACCTGCGAGGTGAGCTCTGCGATTTGCGCTGTCAGGGGATCGATCAGATGGATACTACTAGACACACGGTTAACTAGGCACAAAGGCGAGAGATTTCCCAGCTGGTGGCGCAGTTTCTTGGACAGGCAGACGGCACTGTCCTTGGAAACGGGCGCTATCTCCACCGACCAGTTGTATTTGTAGTTGTAGTTGTTGCTGTGGATATCGTGCGAGATGAGACGCTTAGAGGTGGTCACCTTGCCGGGCACCATAGTTTGTAGAAAGTCCACCATGCGCCTTGCATGATTCTCGTTGGCATAGTAAAAGTCCAGGCCACCGTGCTCCGGCTTGATGCCCAATGTGTTCTCGTGGGCCTTGTGCTTGAGGATCAGCTGCTCCAGGTAGTAGAAGGTCTTCTTGTTGTCCGCTCGCTGACGCACTTGCACCAAACAGCGCCAGAAGTCCTTGGCCTCGGTACGGTGGCAGTCATTGCACATCTGATTCTGCACCGTGAACTCCACCACAAAGACCTGCTGCAGGACCGTGCCGCCGGTGATCTCGCCGTGCACTGTCAGCTTCACCTTGATGCGTTTCGAGTGCTGCTCTGTCCAAATGAAGCCCGCATCGATCAGTTTCACGTCCTTCAGACCCTTGAGCTTCTTAAGGCAAACGGCCAAGAGTTCACGAGACTCTAGGGAGGCCTGAATCCACTCGTTTGGCGGCTGTAGATAGCGCTCGCAGTTGCGGCAGAAGTGCAGCACCGCCTGTTTTGGGATGTTCTCCGTAATGTCGACATGGTTCCGCAGACAAGTGACGCACATGTTGGCCGGATTCGGCTGGATGGGCACTCCGCACTCGCAGCACAGGATCATCGCGTTCGAGGCGGCCTTGCTGTCGGCGGCGCCCAGCGGGCTAACGCCAGCGTATTCGGGATCCATTCGTAGTCTGACTAATCCTTCACAGATCTCTGAAGTTAAGCTATTTCACAATGGCGTTGTAGAAGAACTTTTAATAGAGGAATGTAAACACGTGCGGGTCTCTAGCGATGGAAAGTGAGTGAAAGTATATCGATAGTGAGCACCTATCGCTGGTGTTCCGTGGGGAAACTAGTCGCTGCCGGGAGTTATTTGTTCTCAAGCCAAAACTGCCAATAATTTTGTATACTGACAGAGACAAGCATAAATACTACGAGTTTCGTATTTTTAAATGATCATAACTTTTTTGATAACTCACTTTCATATTCATGCTATCAGCAATCGATTGTTGGCAACACCGGTTCAGTCCCATAATCGATACGATACACACACTCCCCTTGGGCCACCTCTAGACCACAACAGAAATTTCGGACCAGGAACGAATCTTGGGATTCGATTGGATTGCGCCATGCAGAAGAAGCCCATCAACGCCAACTCCCTGCTGGACAAGCTGCATCGCGGCGCCGTCTACGCCTGCATCGGGGTGACCCTGTACGGCACCTACGTGCTGGGTATGCGCTACTACCACTACTACACAGTCATTCGGCCGGAGAAGCAGCAGGCGGAGCTAAAGCTGCTGGACGAGGGGGCTCCCGACAAGGCCAAGGAGCTGAAGTACTAGTCGGGCCCACCTCCTTCCACTTGGTTAATTTGTTAAATGTCTGCTAAGCGCAATAAATTGTAAGGAAATGTTAGCATTTTCAGCTGAAAAGGCCAAGCGCTGGCTTGTTGTTGTGTAATCGAACGGATCCATCCATGCCCGGCGGGACTCGGAGATTCCAGATCTGACCCTGGCTGGGCCCTGGCCCCTGGTCCCCCCAACAATGCGCCATTAGCCGGCTGGGCCGTAAATCAACTCGCCACAATGGGAAATCAATCAAATCAATCGAACCAACCGGACCGCGGACCCAGACTAGAATTAGCCAAGAATTATAATTTAGCTGGCAATCAAAAATGTTGTCATCTCCGTCAACGGAGCCGGATCGTGACTAGACCAGGCCCATAGCCATAGTCAGAGCACAGCCAGAGCCCAGATCCGATGGCTTCCGCTTGCCCAACTCGCCTCGCGTGCATTCACCTCGTCCGTCGCCCATTCAATGCGCAGATATTAATATTAAAGCGATGCCAAAACAATTGCAGCTGCTCGGGATGGGATGGGGGCTGGAGAAGACAATGGCTGGCGGCGGTGCCACCCACTTTGGGTAAGCGAGCTGACGTCGCGACGTCGCTTGTGAAAATGCGCTTGCCATGCTTCATTCAACAATGTGGCCGCCGGCGTTGCTTCATTGATGACTCCGCTTGGAAAAACGGAAAATCAGAAACGGCAATTGCCATTCGTAATTTGCAATTGCCACTGCGGTCAAGGTCGTCCTTCATTGGTGCGATGGTATCCAGCACATAAACGGAAATGATCGAGAGGAGGACCAGTTGAAGTCTCGAACACCAGTTACCTGGTAGAACTGAGATTGCAAAAGTTAAATTGGATCTAAATTTGTTAACAAATTATAGTAAAAGCAAAAGATGATGCAAGTATAGGTATTTCTTTATTTACAAAAAAAATCTAACGTAGTTTTTAACATTTATATGGTAAAACTAAGTCAAAAGCGCAGAAGAGTCGCATCAGCAACTGGGCTAAGCATGAGATCGAAGGGTTAAAATATATATTCCAACACTTGGCCAGCGAGCATATACCATACATGACCCCATACCCAGCATGCTGCCAGAGGCGTCAACGTCTCCGTCTTGCTGAAATCGTGCTCCTCGGATATTCTTTCGATAAGAGCTTGCATTGGAAATGATCTGGTAGAGATCTGGCTGGCAGCTTAATTAAGAATACTGCAAAACGTGCCAATCGTTCATAATTTGTAAATAATGGAGTTCCCACGGGGCTTCTGGCATTTTAATTTGGACCCAGGCCAGCTTCTGGGCAAGCTTAGGTAATACCCCAGCCAGCAACAGCAGCAGCAGCAGAAGCATCCAGTGTAATCCATCTGGCGGAGCAAGTGAAAGTGTTATACGATATTCCCTGGTGATTGTGGAACCCATTGCAGAGCAGCTTATGTTGCATTGTGGAACGAACGGTGGATACATAGGTATCTGCTCTACTTCTCTGATTTCCCAATGAGCAACTAGAGGAGAGCCTGGGATCTTAGAATTTCGACTTTGACTGGCAATTATAAGAGATATCGTTAGTTTGCACGCCCACTCCGCCGGATGAACGGATGACCTTTTGGCTTGCAGCATAAACAATATTCGATTTCAAGTCCTCAACCCGTCCGTCATGCATTCAATTTAGCTGCAACAATCGCTGCTGCTGCTGTTGCTGCTGCTGCTGCTGCTGCTGCTGCTGCTGCTGCTGCTGTTGCTGTTGCTGCTGCTGCTGCTGCTGCTGCTGTCGTCGGTTTGCATAATTGCTAACTGTAGCAGCACAATACCAGCTCGATTCAACCCAGCAGCCGCCATCCCAACAATACCAGCATTAGCCAGCATTACCCACCGGGGCGAGCTCCATGCCGGGTGGCTATAAAAGCGACGGGGCAACTGGCAGCCATCAACAAACCTCGCCCAGCGCCCAGCTCGTTAGCCAGCACATCCAGCAGCATCCGACGCAAAAGCCCTAGCAGCAGCATGAAGTTCTTGGTAAGCAGCAGCAGCAGCAGTAGCAGGAGTTCAAGGATACGTAGTCGTAGCACAAAGGATTAAGTGCTGACAGGCGACAGACACCGATGGAAGCTTCTCGGGAAGCTGTCCGAGCAGGATTAAAACGAGGCTTTTAAAAATGTTGTAATTAATTCAAAAGATTTGGATTTGAAGATTATAAAATCAGTGTTAATTTAAAAAAAGGAATCGCCACAACAGGACAAAGGATTTTTTTTTTATAATCATTTCAAATCGTGTGGAACATAGTGATTTACTATAAAAAGAACGAGAGCATGAGAAATTGCTTTTGTGTATTATTATTTGTATTTTTTTATAAGTTAAATAATACATCTAAAAGACCTTGGTTAATATGCATAAAGGATTGAATTCAACGAATTTTTTAGGGTTTTAAAACCTTAAAAATCCTCTAAATAACTGTAATTCTTTTCCTAAACAGTGCACATTCATGATCCTGGCCCTCGGCCTTATAATGGGCACCTGGGCGGCCGTTTCGGAGCCCGGATCTGCGGATGCCGTGGAACCGCAGCCCCAGGAAATTAGCTCCATTGATGAGAAGAAGACGGAGAAGCGTGGAATCTATGGTTTTGGCTATGGTCATGGCGGCTACGGTGGATATGGTGGATATGGGGGATATGGACACGGTCACTATGGAGGCTATCCGTACTATGGCGGTGGCTTCGGATACGTTCCCTACTACGGCGGACATCACGGCTACTATCCGTATCATCATGGGCACTACGGCTTCTACTAGGGACAGCAATTATCACGGATCATCTTATACTCAATTTTTTTTTTCGACCGATTCACTTTCATCGCTGCACTGACATGCCTATATGTATATTTTTTTTCGTGAATCATTATTCCACATTAAAATAAAGTACATGCCCTGAGAATAGCTTAAACATTAGCATTTTTCTGACACTTTGACAACCATTGAATATCAAATATATCAATATCTTTACTATATAGTTTAATTGTAACTGACTCTCACTCTGTTCGAGCTTCTAATCAAACGAATTTAATCCAATTCAATTAGTGCAATTAGTCTATCTTTGTATATTCAAAATTATTAACCAAAGTATATTATTAGATAATTCAACTAATAAAGCAACACGGATATGTCCAAGAACTAGTTAATATTGATTAATTATGGCTTTTAAGGCTTCATTTATTGAACATTGTTTAAACAAAACGGAGACTAAGGGAAGCCAAATTTTATATACCCTTACCGTTTTCAAATGAATTATAGGATCGATTCTGGAAATTGTTAATAGCTAATCTTAAAACATTCTCATTTTTTGAATATGGTAATTTGCTGGGCAAATCGAAATTTAAAAAACGCATAACTAAGCCAAATAAGCATTAATTTTAAATCGGAAACCTTCCCCATGTTAGTTTTTATTAGATTAACAAATCTGCATACTCTATTCAACATTTTAAAAAATTAAATTTTTTTTTTTAATTTTTGACAATTTTAAAGATGTAACCCCTTATGAAATATCGAAAAATTTGAAACATTTTTTTTCTGCCGGAGATGCCTAGAAAGATTCGCCTGTTGATGCTGATCAAGAATATATATGATTTATGGGATCGGAAATGACTCCTTCACTGCGTTCCATGCTCCTGACTGAAATAATAATACTAATTTCTAACTCCATTTGCTTGTTTATTAACCAAACAAAACCAATACTGAAATACCTTCGGACTTAAAATAAATACATTTTGACTTGGTTCTGATCGAATTCAAATGAGGCCTTCAATCCAATTGCAAACTGGAAAGGTTTAAGAACCCGTAGGTAACTTCGTTTCTTATTTGAATATAACAGGTAGTTTGAAAATTGAAAACATCATTAATTTATCGATATATTTGGCGATCATACCAAACACTGTGAGCTTTTCCTGGTATTTTTTTTAATGGCGGTCCTTAGCTCGGATATCGCGGGTGTGGCAACTCTGCCGAATAACTGTTTCGTGCATCGCGCCATTTTCCGCATTTTTTCTTCGCAGTCGGCACGAAATTTTGGTTGGAGCTGAAAAAAATGTTAAAACGCGACTTGCAGAGCATCACGCTCAAGTTATCCGATCTCAAGGAGTACGAGGTGGCTCGACTGAAGAACAAGTACAAGCCGCCACCTCCCCGATTGTCCCAGGAGGTCATCGTTAGCGATGACGCCTCCACCTCAGGAACGGCAAGTTGCAGCTGCCCAACGGGCTCGGGATCGGGCTCGGGCTCGGGCTCAGGTACAGCCTCGGGATCGGGATCAGGATCAGGATCAGGTTCCGGAACAGGCATTCGATCGGAGACACCTTCTTCCGCTTCGTATACCACTTCCACGACGCCGACGCCGGCTACCCAGGAAGATCTACTCGAGCGAGCGGGCAGACCCTCGTCTGCGGTCACGGCCACCACCACAACCACGGGCACAACCGGCTCTGGCTCCACGGACGATGTGAGTGTGGCCGCAGTGGTCGATGATACGGACACCATAGATGAGATTAGCGACGACAACTGGGTGGACCTGAATGCGGACACCAACGATACGAATGATACGCTTGATACTCTCGACACCAACGAGGAGGATGGCGCCAGAGGAGGCATCTAAGGAGGTAACTGCCACACGTAACACACTGCTGCAGCTGAAGCGCACTCCACATTTCATTTAACCATTTTTATCATCCATCTTCATCACATATTTTGTATACATAACCCATATATTATAACCATAATGCATGCTCAACTTACATATGCGTTTCTTTTCCAGCAAAACTGGGAGCAGGTTGTTCTTCGGGTTCGACCCCATCAGACGTGGAATTGAAGCTGGCAATGGGATAAGCCTAGTATTCAGAAATTCCAACGTAGTTCAAGTGAATTCCTTCCAGGTAATTGATCCCTTGTAAATAATACATCCTTGTGGAATTTACGATTAATTCAAACGTCTCTCGTCGTCCTAATTGGCCATCAAGATCTATAGTCCCGGTCTTTGGAACCAGCTTATCAAAAATTCATTTTAATTGGCTGGAAAAACATGCGAATAATTGGCAGACACTTAAGACCGCATTCAGCTGCAGTTCCAGGATTTGATCTCATCTGCAGCTGGGACTGCAAACTCAACAGGTTGGCCATGTGCTCAGCAACAAGTGCGGTGTTCAGCTGTGGAGCAGCTTAACCCACCGATAAAAGCAGAGAGTGGGAGCTTGAGTAATTCCGAACACATATATGTGGACCGTGCGCTCATGTAATCCCGATTTCAAGGACTGCTGCAACGTGATTGAACTAGACCCGTGAGATGACACTTGTTGTGGCTGGAGGCAGGCAGGGTGGAGGATGGTGGCCAGGCCAGGAAAACCGTATAAAAAGCTTGCTGGAAAAGCTAGAAAGCTTACGGCCATCGGCGCTGCATTTGAAAACTGAGTGTGCAAAGCTCAGAGGCCGGAACAGGCTTAAAACAGCCTGGCATTCATTCGGCCACCGCGTCCAATCCTGGCCCGTCTGCTCTTCCGTCTTCCGATCCGAGGCGGGCCGGCTTGCCGCTTCCGGCCCTCGCGGTGACCAATTAATTACGTGACCGAATTCGATTTTTGCCTTTTGGCGTGCCATTAAGTAGCTGTCCGTATCCTTATCCATATTGGCTCATTCCCACCTCTCGCTGTCGGTGTAGCTGCCGCTTCCACACATCCGTGTCCGTGACCCCCAAGGATCGATCCACGCCGGGCCCATCACGTGCCACGTGCCGCCGCCCGGTCAACGGAAAGTGCAAGGGTAAGTTTGTAACGTTGGTTTCAAACGATGCCCCAGGTACACATGACAGTGTGTGTTGTTGTTTATTAATTCCCTCTTGTCCTAATTGGGCACAGCTTTTTTTATATACTATTTATTATAGATTTTGTAGGGATTTCCTTTGACTTTCCCAAGGTAGAATCTAGTTTAAATATTCTGTATTTTCTGTCATCGAACCCCAACTGAATTTTAACTTGGTTAAGTCTCCTAAAAGGCTTTAATGGGCTTTGTCGATTCCCTGCCGAAATGCATTTCCATTTCCCCGGCCACTTGGGTATATCATCGCATCATGACCCCTGTGACCCAACTAGTTATTAATAAGCCAACTTTTCCCATCACTGCAACATACACACACAGGTGACTGAGTGGAACGTGACGCCGCGGGGCAACTCGGGTGCATTGATATAACCACCTGTCACACACACACAAAAGCTACACGTGCGGCGCATCAAGGGGGCAGGATATTTCGTGGGAAGGAAGGAGCCCGGTTGGGAAAAGGAAGTGGGATAGGGGACGAGGAATTAGTAGTGGTAGTAAAAGTGAAAGTACAGTGACAACGCAGCTCGTTGTAAAGTTCTCCAAGAATCCGTTTGCCTTTTGGTTAGTAGCTCTCCTTCGATCGCTCTTCATTTGCATATATAAACATATATATACACAATATTGTTTGTATATGTATATATCCGTTTATGCAGCGATGTTTTGACTGTAAACTCTGCTGTTTTCACTCGAGCGCGCATGCCTTTCATTAGCCCCCGTGCATAATTATGGCCCACACACATGGGACTGGCACAGTTGCGGTCGCATTATTAGCATAAGTTGGTGTTAAAGTTACATTTTTACTTATGAATTTTATTGTTTTTAATTAGTTTATTAATTTACAAGAGTAGTCTATGTCGTAGGTGATTGGCTTCTGTTGCTCAGCTCTTTTAGAGTGCAGCTTTTGTTTGCTACTTGGTGCTCCTTGTTATTCAAGCTGAGATAATAATCCAGTTTTGTAAACCTAATTAGGGAAAGATATAGAAGATATTCTTTGACTAATTCTCTTTACAGAAATTATAAACCTTTTGATTTTGATCAAAGAGAACCCATCGACTTGAACTGCACTGTTAATGCAGGTCCTTATGGGCCCAGAGAGAGAGTGTTGCATTGCATGTTCGTCTGTGTGCTGTGCATATCTGATTGTGGCCACCGTAAGGTGGCCTGGAGGAGGCACTCAACAGGTGCCGGCACAGAATGGGCTGGGCTCCGCCCATTGGATCAACCCCACGCCCGGCTTGCAATATTAATGCGGAGCCAAGCGGCGCGGACGAAGGACGAGTGCATGTTAAATAGATGGCGGCATACAGTGCAAACTAGACATGAATCCCTGGCCTTTGGCCCTGGCCAGGACGAGCACAAACCCCTCCTTGCCCCCTGGGCCATCCATCCCATCTCCCCCAGACTTTGGCCAGACTTCTTTCTCGCGGCCTTTGCATTGCACTTGGCATTTAGGTTTTTAGTCAGTTTCCATAGAGTCGGTCGGTCGGCCGGGAAAATGGCAATGCGGCATGCTTTTCGTGTTGTGCTTGTGAAAAGCGGAAAACGGAAAGACGGAAAAGTGAAAAGGAAAATGGCAGCGCCGCGCTCTGCAGATAGTCGTCTTCTTTTGTTGTTGCGGACAATTTGCCGCTGATTGCCGAATGTCAATCCCGTTTTGTCAGCTAATTTGCATGCATATTCGAGTTGGCACATTATGCCATTTCGCTCTTTGCTGTTCACCGCTCAGCGTAGCTTTCCCTGGCAGCTCAATTTTCCGGCTTTTCGCCTGCCTGACGTTGACGCGGAACGAAAGACTTTGGACAAGATTCCATGGCCTCCGTCGGCTGCAATTAAATCAATAGTTGCACGGCGGCCCAGCGGAGCCTTAGCATCGATCCTGAAACCCAAAGTATAAGCTTGGAACTAAATAAGTGCTGTGGTAGTTTGGATTTAAAAAACTCGACATTTTCAATACGTTTAGGGTGAGTTTTTAAAAACATTTAAAGCCACAACTCCTGCTCAACCCGGTTTAGCAATGGACTCCATTTCCAAGATTTCCAAAAATAATACCCTGGCAAGGGTACTTACACTCAATTTATAAACTAATATTTTCACTAAAATACACAGCGATTTCTAAGGCATCCCTGGTATATTCACTGTATATGTATAATTGTATAAGTACAAGCTATAGTGATCGAAATATTCCACAGAATATGAACTGAAAGATGACGCCAGGCGGGGATCAAGTTCCGTTTCGGTTTGGTAAAGGCAAGTGAATGCACCTATTAACGCCCAATAAGCTAAAGGTGCTTGACACCGATAAGAAACGACCAGCTCCAGCTCCAGCTCCCGCTCCCGGTTCATTGTCCCGTCCAGGAACATATCTAATGCCGGTGATTGCAATGGAATATTTAGTCCCCGAATAAAAAAAGAGAGAACGACCAGGGAGATTTGGACTGGAAATAGGCTCTGATTTAATATAGATTTGCTTGTAGATTTATGTGTTTAATGTTTTCGAGTAGATTCCATCGATCTTCTACTGCTGCTGCTTGGTGAAAACACAACAAAACCGGGGTATTTCAGCTTCTCCGGCGACTCTGGACAAACAAACAAAACAGGAAAACGGCCAATCAGCAGCAGGAATCGAATGGTGAACCCCAAGTCCCAGTGCGAGTTGCAGTGCAGTGTGCTTGTGTCTAATGGTTAAAAATAGCTGTTTGTATTTAAAAATAGTCGGGGATTGCAAATCAAAACTTACCGGAGCTCAGGAGCGGACTTATATGCCCAACTGGCGTCTCAACATGCCCAGCAAGCTGATCCTGGGACGGCTGCAGGACAAATTGGTGCACGTACACGATATCGGTTCGGTAGATATGCGGTAGATAGTATATGTAGTTAGTATAACACTCATCATTAGGACCATTCTTATAATCGTAGAGAATAGCCCGCGCTGCTTCTCCTTCGCCACGTCCTTTTCATACTGAGTACCTTGGGTCACCATCAGACTTCCCATTTCATTGTACTCCACCTCCACAGTTCCCTGCTCCACGAAGTCAGCGTAAAAGCTGATTGGTGGTTCTTCGTCCTCCAGAACATTGACGCGTTTGGATAACATGATTTAAAAGATATAAGAAAATTTATGAAAAATGGATACAATATAGAAAATATAAGTTAACGAATGAACTGGTGGGAAAGTTATGATAACTAAGCTATTGACACAACTAGAAACGTTAGAGTGGATGCCTACTAAGAGTTATTTTTGTATTTTCCAAGGTGCTTGAATCCAGTCACTTACCCTTTTTATCCTGTCGAAAAATAACTATATATATTGTTGTATTTTCAAGGATCCTGCTCGGGCTATACTTCGCTCCTTGCAATTGCCAGCTGAGCATAGAGTGCCGCTCCATTTCCACTGAACTGCCGAGGCTCTAACTCCAGCCTGGAGTCCATTGTCTTATCAGGCAGCAAATGGGGCGTGGCATGGCCACCCTCGGACTCTCGATGCGGAATTAATTCCCACATCTTCTATTTGCTGTTACCCGTTCCTGTTTCCATTTGAATTTCCATTACCCCTGGCGACGAGTGTTATCAATGGCCTGGTATAATCGATTATCAATATTGTCGCATTACGACAATCATAAGGGGTCGGTGGAGGAACTAAGGGAGCTGAGCGCATCACGGGTTGGAATTCATCTTGGGTGGGGGCCAAAGCCAGACCAACCTGTGACCGATCAGTCTTGAGGTTCGTTGTATATTTATAGCACTAAACTTAACTAAACTATAGCCATTCCGCACATTTCCCACTATTTGCTCAGCTAATTATGCGATCAGTGCGATCGAATCTCTCATGCTGATCATCGGATGTGGCTTACAGAGCTCCACTTGGCATAGAAGGGAAAGTTGGGTAGTCCCGCTCCACTTACCGCTTTGGCAGTGCATTGCAGGGTATCAAGCATTCGTCGTTGAAGGCTTGGAAGAAGCTTGTCTTATCAATGACCTTCAGTTCTCACTACTTTCCGAGTAAAGTT